CTGTTGGTATGTGAGCCATGGGAGCATCTACTTCCTGGAAATGGAGTGGGGGAAGAGGGGAAGAGCAGGAAGCTACCAGTTCAGGGCAGTTGGGAGGTCTGCTAGGCCAGGGAGTATGGAGTTGAAGTAGGTGACTTCAGGGAATCTGAATCCTATTGCTGCAGACAAGTGATGAGAAGGGATCTGCAAAATTAATCCATATTGTTCATGAAGGTATTTGTAAATTAAGAGAGCAATATCATATTGTAAATATGCTACTGAGAATGAATGTTATTAATGCAGATGGTGCTTTGAGAAATGGAACATCGTGTTACTGCTGAACTGCTGGTACACAACTGTGGTTGAACAGTTACTCCACCAGTGTAAAAACTCAATAATGATTCCTTCTCGGCAAAACTGATTTAATAATATATTAGGAGATGATGCTGGTCCTGGCCTTACTCACCATGGAATGAATATTATAATTGAGAGGACTAATTACAGAAAAATAAAAATCTCTGTGGTGTCAGATTTTGCTGACTTCTGTTAATGTACTTTACAGGACACTTGGATCTTGGTGATGAGCATAGTGTAAATAACACAGCTCATTTGCTATGCAAAGCAAAGGGCTTCCTAAACAGAAGTAATATAGTAAATAAAATGTGGGAAGTAAGGAAAGACCTTTGTTGAATTTGACTGTTGAGAGAGAAGTTTCGGGAAGCTGGGTCCTTGGGGCTGACAGCCAGGTTTGGGGGCTTCTCTTTTATGCTTTTTTTTTAACACTGATTAAAACTCCAGCAACTTGAGAAACTCTTTGTTTCCCATTTCTCCTTAGCATTTCCTTCTGAGGTTTCTTCCCTACTTCTACTCAGACTGGTTCTACTTTGGGCTTTGTCCTAACACTTGTTTCTTACCTGCCTGGAACAGACTGTACAGGTGGGAGAGGCTGATCTCAGTTAACTTTTTGTACCAGAACTTTAAATGTTATTTTCTATTCTCACATAAAAGAGCCAAGCAGCTTGGTGTGTCATAAATCCTTGTGTGGTGTATTTGTGTTACCTAGAACAAAGCTTGTGTGATGGCTGGTTGGTAATGGAAGAAAATTTGGTATCCACTTCCAGATGTGAAGTGCTGCATTGGAGTGTTGCTGTGCTGTTTGCTTGCTTTCCACAGCAGGTTTGGTTGTTGGAGCAGTGCTGCTCACCCTTGTAGCACATGTCATTGGCTTAACCAGCATGTGCAGGAGTGTCCCACAGAAAATAGTAGTTTATTGCAGGGACTTTTTTGGTTACATTTCGTTACGTTGTGTAAATGTGAGAATAGTATGGAAAAATGAAAGGAATGGGTGTCCCAAGGGAAACAGGAACCCAGATGTTGATGTGATGTATATTTTCTGAAAGGGGGATAGCAGATGAAAAATACCATTTTCTGGGTCAGAAAAGATGGTCAAAATGATATATTTTTATCCTTTGCTCTTTGTCGTTGTTGGCAACAGCACAGGGGAAGAAAGTTTTAACCTGCATCAGGTGTGTTCATAGCATGCCATTTGTGACTGCTGTCTTTCTGGCCAAAAAGTCTTCTCCACTCCCAGTTGGATGGTTTGGGTTGTGCTCTGCTCCTGCCCTGCTCTCCCGTGGGAGGTGGTGTTTTTTAACAGACCAGACCATCCTTGGCCCTGTTGCCTGCAAGCCAGAATCACACAACATCGACAGGAAGATGCTGTAAAATCACCATGGTGGGAAAGGACATGTGCTGGTGGAGTCAGTCCTGCATGGAGCTAGGCAAGGACTTCCCTCCTGCCCTCCCCAAGATCTTTTTAAGCTTTTCAGGGACTGATTTGACAAACTCATCCCTAAGTAGTCGGTGTAGTTGCTTAGGAACGGTCAGAGGCAGATATATATTTGGTGTTTAACTGCAGCTGTGATTAACTGTACAGACAAAACCAAGGCCAGGCAGGCAGCTGTTGCCTCATCCTTTTGCTATCGAGTTCTCTGTGAGAAGATCTGGTGCTCAGGATGTCTGGTGTTACGATGCAATAACAGTGAAGCAGTAGGGATGTCATCACCTCGATTGCACCTCTGGTGGTATGGATGATACTAAAGCTCTCTGCTCTCTGTTTCTTCAGAGGTAGCCAAGTGCTGCAGCCTGTTTTTCTGGGAAGATGGGAAATGAGAACAGCTTGTTTGGGGATACTTGCAAAGATCTCTGTTTCTAAAAGGCACCCAGAAGGTGGGGGTGTGGGAGGTTTACTTACTTATGTGTTGCTTACTCAGATTGGTGCAAAGTTACTTCTTGTAAAGACACTGTTTTTCCTGTCAATGCTCAGTTAACGTAAATGATGTCTAGTATTTGGCTTTGGTGGTGGTCTGTTGTTTAAAGAAATGTCCATGCCTGCATGTGTAGTTAGGGTTTAGTAGTTAATGCTTCAAGAAGCCCTGAGGGACTTTGCCTGCTGCCTTCAGTGCCCTGGCAAGGTTTGATGTTGCAGGTCTGTCCACCTGCCCTTGCACACCTTGCTAGAGCACTGGCATTCATTTCAGCTGGCTTAGTTAAAGGGATATGAAATGTTTCATCTTTTCTTCTGACATGGCTTAGTGTCCTTTCCAAAGCATTTCTGGTCGCTGCTGGCTCAGGAGAAAGGCAGTGTCACTTTGCCCTGCCTTTCAGAGGAGTTTTCTGAGAGCTGGTCCATAAACTCATCAAAACAGGAACCTTCAAGGCTGGATGGTACAGCCTTCTAAGGGGGAGAGCTGAAGGCACTCTCTGAGAACATGCATCTCTCTGTGGCTTCTGCATACCAGAAATCAAGCAAAATCTCATTGTGGGTTGGTTTTGGGGCTTTTTGGGTTTGTTTTGTGTATATAGATAGAAATGTACAGAGCCCCAGGGCCAGCAATTTGAAGTGTGAAAAACAGGAAGCCAGACTAGGTTCAGGTCAGGAGAACCCTGGTGTGGTGTGGGGGCAAGAGGCCATGGCAAACAGATGCTGGGCAGGCTCTGGATGAGCAGAACTTCTCCAGGCTGTGTCTCTGCCTGCGCCATCACAGACTGGAGCTGTCACGGATGCTCCTCTGTGCTCCCCTGCCCGTATCAAGCCAAAAAACCTCCCCCACCTCACTTCCCCTTTGCTGGAGCAAAGGGGATTTCAGACTCTTCAGCAGAAGTAATTACTCTGCACCAGCTACTTCTGAGCCCCTGCAGAGTGCAAGTGTTTGTTTCCCTTCCTGGGTTTAGCTGTAATAGCTGTAAAAACCAGAATTGAATGGTTTTGGGGTTGTTGTGTTTTTTCCCTTGCACATTTTCCTGTAATTATGAGGTGGGAGTGTGTTTTGCCATGAAATTTTCTAGTTGCAGAGTGCTCAGCAGATACTACTATTTTGGAGAAGGAAAAAAAAAAGGGGGAGGAGGTGAGTTTTGACGCATGGATGATATTTGAAAATTACTATTTACCGAAGCTTAATTCCCTGGCTAGTGGTTGAGTATTAGAATTGACTGCAAACAACCGTGGCATTTAAACTGAGCAGGGCTGCTGCACAGGGCTGGGTGGCCCGAGATCTCTGTTTATCAGGAGCTGCTGTTGCACTGCTTCACTTGAGAGTGTGGGCTGTAGTGGGCACCTCTCCTTAAAGTTTAGAAACTCACTTTGCAAATTTTGAACTTTACTGGAATAACAGGAAACTCATTAAACCTTTACTGTGCGTATGCAATTTAACAGAATCCTTTGAGTTTTGCCTGAACCTGACAGTGTTTGACTAATGCAAAAGAGTTGTCACTGTGGCAGTCTGTGAAGGCTTGCAGAGAGAGGAAACACCTTTTTTCGGCACAGGCTTTTGGTCCTCCCCACCTTCTGCATGGCAAGCTGCAAATGCTGCTGATGCTGCTGCTGCTCTTCCAAGGGCTTGTAGCTCTGAGAGCAGTTCTGCAGCTTTTTAAAAAAATTTGTCATGACCTCTGAGGATACTGGTGTGAAATCAACGTTTTCGAGCCTCCGCCTTAGCTCAGTTGATTTGAAGTCCAAATTTCAGAGCCCAGGAGCCTGGCAGGTGGTGGCAGGAGTGGATGTTTCTTGTACCTTCGCAGAAAACAGATGTTTTCAAGGCAATTGCAGAGACGTCAAGGCAAGAAAAAGCAGAACTGAGAATCACTGACCTAAGGTTATTGTATTTACAGTAAAAAGAGCCAGGTGTTTCCATTGCCACTCTCTGAATCACTTGCTGCAATGTAAAGGCCTGTCCTGCCGTGCTGTGTCCTCATGGCACGGCGGTGCTGTGCAGGCTGGGCTCTGCCGAAACCTGGAGCAGGGAGGAGGAGGCGATGTGGAGCTGTGTGACCCTGTGAGCCGAGTCACTGCACTGTCACCGTGTCGGGCTGACCCGGGGCCTGCGGGCGAGCCCAAGGCATCTCCTTTCCCGCTGTGACTCCGTTGTGAGTCACCCTTTCCTTGAGAAAGGACGCGAAAAGGGAGCTCATCGTGAAGGATTTTTCCCTTCCGCAGCCTCGTTAAACAGGACTCGGTGCAGAGTGAGCCGGGCTTGGGGACCCCCTGAGGGAGCTGAGGCCGGGGCGCTCCTGGCACGGGAGGTGATGGCGCAGGAGCAGCTGGAAGCACCTGCTGGGATGCAGCCCCCCATCCCTGGAGGGGATTCTACCGGTCAACCCTGTGCCACTGCCAGCCTGCTGCTCCTGCCCGGGCGTCCTCCATTCAGGACTGGGCACTGTGTGGCCACGTTTTGTGCCCTGCCCTCCCTGCCGGGCACAGCCCTGCGGGGGGATTCGGGGCAGCAGCGGCAGCACGAAGCGGGTCCCGGGCCCCCACAGCGCTGCCGGCTCGGCTGCTGAGCACTGCCACGCTGCCAGATTCTTGCTCTTATTTATTTCTCTTCCTCTCTCCCCTCTTCCCTTTTCTGTAAAACCGTTCTGTGCTTCTCGGACTGTGCTGCTGGACTGGAGCAGGGTCACGGCCCAGCCCCCCCCAGGCACAGCTGTGCCGTCCGGAGCCAGTGCCAAGGGGTGGCACGGGAAAAGCACGGCCTGCAGTGCCAAGAGGGACCGTAGTAAAAGCACGGCAGAAGGCACGGGAAAAACATGGTTCAGAAAAAGAAAACTGGAATTGCCACAGAAGAAGGTTTTAGTTTCTTTTGCCTTTTCTGTCTGCTTTAACTTTTCAGGTCAGTGACATTAATGGGCTGTGGTGGAAGTGAAGTAAATAATGGCATATGCCAGAGGCAGCACATCGATTTTTAAGTCTCCCCTCAGTAATTAGTGACAACCTTTGTGGGGACTGACTGCTGGGTTTAACAAACCTCTGGCAGCAGGAAAAGCAAAGCAACACAGAGGAGAAGGAAAAAACGAAAAGGCTATTGCTTGCTTTTTTACTTTCATCTTGTTTTTACTAGAGTCATATTGGGATGATTTAAAAAAATCATTTCGGTTTACTGCTCTGTCGAAGTAACCCATGTAAAAGGTAGGTACCAGTCAGCATAAGGTCATTGCATGGTAAAAAATTGTTTCACAGTTTGGTCATTCCTATAATGCTGCTACTTAATTGAACAAAAACTAGTGTAAGTATTGAGGAGTCTTACTGAGGTACCTACAGCTAGAGGCAGAGCTGTCCTCACACAGTGCCTGCACAGCTCACTAATACAGCAAAGAACATTCCTGAAGCTCAAAGATTCCTGCTAGAAATTTCACTTGGGTTCACTTTTAAATTTTTGGTAAATGAGATTTCCCTTTGCTAATACAACAATAATATATCTTGCATTTTTTCCTTTTAAAATCATTAATCTTAAAATACAGATATGCAATAAGTATGATTCTCCATTTTCATGTGATTATGCCACTTTGTATTTATAAACTAATTGTTAAGAACACACATGCCTACTAAAAAGAAATAATTTGGAAAAGTTACCAAAATGGTATGCTGGCCAGTCAATGAATTATACTTGTTCAAAGGCCATGAAGGAGGCTTTATATAAGAGACTTTGCAGGTCAGTAGAGTCCTGGGATGAGTTCATAATATAGATGAAGAACTGAGACACAAATAACAGTTGCTAGTTCTGATCAAAAATTTGGTTCTCTTAAGGCAGGTAAGAGGAGCTGTTTTCAGATTTCTTTTAATGAATGACTTAAAAGGAAAAAAATGAGAAGAGGAATTGTTCATATGGTTTTCTACTTGAAAGACTAACAGAAAAATGTGACTGTCACTGTGTTTCCTCATGCACTGAGACTCATTCTTCACCCTTATTACTTTCTCTGGTATGTGAAGTGTTCATCATAAAATGGATTATTTGTCTTGCTTGCTGCAGGTGGATGGGGATAGTTAGTAAGTGGCAGCAATGATAAATGCCTGTGTTTGGGGATCAAGATACACCTAAGAGGCCTCGTTCTCTCTCCTCCCTTATGTGTCCCAGTTTTGCCCCAAAGTGGTGCATGAAGAAGTAATAGGGTAATAATATGGGACACAAGAGGCAGTATGAGATTTCAGAGTAAAAGGAAAGCCAAGATATAATACAGAAAGTGGATTAACAAGTGGATTAACAATCCTACTTGTTTACAGTAGGATTGACCAGGAACCACTTGTAAAAGAAATGAGGTTAAAATTAATGAACAGGTGAATCTGCATATGTAATCTGTCAGAGCAAGCAACCAATAAAAAAGAATGACTCTAATTAAAGTCAGTAGCAGAGGAGGGAAAAAATAGTTTAAAACAAACCAAACAAATTGGTATCTAATCAAGCATTCAGCTCACTCTGTACAGTTTTCCTCCTTGTCTTTAGGTTTAAACCCCAATGCCCTTTTACCTGCACTGAGGGTTAATTACCTGTCACAGCTCAGGTGTTCAGTCACAGCCACACCACATGCTTCTTTCCCAGGAGCAAACAGTCCCTTTTTGAAATAATGGCTATCTCTGTTTTCAGGTGCTGGATATTATCCTAAGTATACAGGAAGCTACAGCTAATAGAGCTTGTCCTCTTATGTGATCAGATTCTATTGGTTCCCAAACAGCTCCACTAAAACCAGAGTGAACATGAAGTTTGGATCTTTTTTTTCTCTTTCCTTATAGTTTGTCAGTAGAGATGTTTCTTGGAAATGGTTTCCTTATAGTGCAGGTTTCAGTGGTACTGTTCTTCCCCTTGCTGGCAGGTCCCAGCTGGGAAGGGGATGCCAGTCCCTGAGCACTTTTAACAAGAAGCACCAACACAGGATGTTCTCATTTTCTTCCCACCACAGTGGTCAGTTGAGTCAGGTTTGCCAGGAGCTCCCGACTCTCCTTTGGCTGCTGTTGTCTCTTCTGTTCTTTGCCCTCCCTGTAATACCCAATACATGTCCTGATTCAGATCATTCTTATCCAGAGTGTCTTAGAGAGGTAAGGAATGGCCACAGGGACAGTACTGCTTACAGGTCACCTCCCATCTCTGGGAGAAGGCTGCATGGAACACCAAGCAGAAGACAAATCGGGGAATAGAAAAGGGCTCAAGATGTGCACTGTGAGACAGAGCACAAGTGCGAATGCAGCTGTGTCAATACCACCTACAGAACTGGGATATTGCATCAGCCTGAAGGAATTAAATGCCAAAAAAGCTGCACACAAAAGCTTTTCCTTGAAAATTCAGTGATGAGAAAGTAGACAGGTTATTAACAAAGCACAGTTTTAATAAAAATGTTTAAGGCTTACATTTCAAAATGACTTATAAATAAACTTAATCACAATGTATATATTTTTTTAAAAAACTATTCATTATAATATATATTTTCTGAGTTATAAAATCCCATATAAATAGCAAATTATTCTCAGTATGCAGATTACAAGAACACATAAAAACTGGGATGTATATCTGAAAGGAATCCTGAGTATGCACTCAAAAAATGGCAGAAAATAGAACAATGGTAGAGTTGGACACAAGAAATGCTGTTGTCCCAGCATGTTATTTTCTTAAAAAAAAAATAAAACTGAGAACTTTTTGGTTGCTCAACCTTGTTCAGCTCCATAGACTCAGGAATGGCTCTGGATACTCCACTCCTAGAGATTTCAGGAACACCCTGTAGATTCTTTTGGTATCAAAAAAAGAAACTGATGTCTGTCTTCAGATGGACAGAAATAAGGCACTTCTGTAGGGCAGGTCAGTGCTGGCTGCAAGCAGCAGCTTGGACTTACAGCCAGAGAGCAGCAGAAGTCGACTCTTGAACGATGATGAGTGGCAACAAATTTGCAAGAGGCAGCCAATTCTTACACTCCTCAAGGTTCCCCCAATTACCTCCCAAAATAACAATATGAATTAAACCAAGAATTAATAAGTAGAAACTTTGCATGTTTGAAATATCAAAGTGAAAGTTCCCTTTTGTTTTTAGATTGAGGTAAGTGAACGAGCAAGTTGGACCAAGAGCCAGTGGTCTGCCCACAGCAGGATGCTGCTCTCTGTGTGGCACAAGTCGGAGCAGCATTTGGATCAGAGCTTTCACCTTGTGCTCTCTCCTTGCTTTTCCAAGTGAGCTGCACAAGAGATCAGTGTGAATGATAACGTTCCCAGTGGTGTGACTACATCTAGAACCAGGCAGACTGCAGGACTGCAAGAGGACATCGACTTGCAGAAGCCTGTCAGTGTATTTAAATTCTGAGCTATTCTATTATTGTAGCACAATGGGCTTTTTCTGGTCATAATGAAAAAAACAGTCAATTATTCATGGGAGAAATAAAGACTATTCTGCCTGTTGTTTTCAAAGAGTAATGTAGTCACTATATATTCCTTTAAACACTGCTCTTAGATAAACTATGTTTTTTTCATATACTCAGGGTCATGACCTCTGACTTACTATTAGAACATGAATCATAAGAGCAAGCTCATACATGCAAACTGCAGTAAACACACAGAGGCTTAAATTTTGCTTCTTATTAGAGAGTCAACTCAGTAGAGATAATGAAGTAAATTAGAGCTGTTTATAGTCTCCTGGCTTATTCCGAGTTTAGCTGGGATCAAAAACCGGATGAACAACGTTATACTGCAGTTGAGCCGTAGTTGCTGAGAGCAGAACTTCATAAGTAAACAATGGATGCACAATAGCATTTTAGATTCAGAAATTCTCAACAGTTTTCTGTCCTTTCAAATACTACAAATAACTTCTTTCTTCTTGGTATCCTATAAATACTCACATGGCAATTTTCTTCCTGGTTTTAGTTCAAAACAACAGCAAGAAGTTGTAATTATTGCACAGTATGTTAGGATGAAAGACTAGAAAAGAGTATGGCACTTGCAGGGTGACTTTTCAGTCCAAAGAAAAGCTCTTCATTTTTTCTGCTAGTTCCTGTCTCATTTCTATATGTTTTTTCAGGTTTTGCACTTCATGAGGCAGGTTAATGTCCCACACTGACACACAGGATTGTAACTCTGGGAAAAAAAAAGAAAATTTTAAAACTGCAACAGAGATGAATTATTGCATAATTAGCAGTGGTTTTGCTTATCTGCTTATTTTAATTACTTGTAAATTCACTCAATGAAGCAGGATCCTTAGGACCTGGAAGACAAGTTACATGACACTTCATGTGTGAGAGAATGCAGTCGTAGGCTACAAGCTGTTTGTACTTGCTTGTTTGTACTTGTACTCACAATGGTTTGGATTCCAGTTCCTAAATTTAGAATACCCCATTTAAAAGTACTTGAAATACCATTTCTGGAGCCTGTGGGCCATGAGGTACTGACCTGACCTACAGCTAATGTAGCTGTACTGAAGTGCTTGCATAAAGTTTCATCTCTGTTTTCCCAAGCAGATATTCCTTAAATGCTTATGAGACTCAAATCCCATTCACTGTTAACTAAAAACTGATTTCATAAGCCAGTGAATATACTGAGAAAAGGTCACTTCTTAAATCTCCATTCATGCAAACAACTCTTTATTCATGAAGAATTCACAGTGCTTTTAGTGGAATAGGGATAATTGAGAACACCTGCATAAGTAGGGGCTCACAAACTAAGGCCCCAATGATTCTGGGACTCTCTGATTCCTCTCTACAATTAATGTCACTCTTAAATAAAGCAAAAATGCTAAAGAGGCAGTAAGTGTTCTTATGGTAACAGGAATTGGGGAATACCATAACATAAAACCCAGTGCTCTAAGCTTGAGTCTTATTTTATTTCAGTCAGCTCATCTACACTTGCCACCCTTAACTTTATAGTCATTGCCACATTTTTAGGAGTTACTGAAACTGGAATGAGATAAAGGTGAACAAGGGCATTGATCAAAGCACCAACTGTAACTGTTATTAGAAAAATCCAAAGATGGAGTTTTTCTATCTTCCTGTACTTTGCTATCCTAATTGTCAGGAAGCTTTTACCAATGTCTGACCTAAATCTCCCCTGCTGTAACAGAAACTGGTAGTTCTTATTGTACCCAGAGGGAATATGTAGAATTCTTTATTCCCTTACTCTTTATTTACATATTTGAAGCCTATTATCATGTCCTCTCTAAGCTTTATTTATATTAACCAACTAAACTTCCCACAACATTTCCTCACAGGTTGCATTTCTCTCCTCTGAACTGTTCCAAATAGTCCAGATCGTTCAGCAATGTCCCAAACAGATACGCTCCTCCAGCAGAGGCCATATGAGCACTGAGCAGAGTGTAAGAATTAGCTTATGTCTTACATACAGCACTTTTTAATTGCTGTGAGAGTGGTGTTTGCCTCTTCTGCAGCCACACGATATGGCTGACTCATGATCAGCCTCCTATCAATTATAACCATTTTTCTGCAGCACTGCTGTTTAAGCTGATCATTTCCTCATGTTGGTACAACAGATCAGTCCTAATTAAGTAAAAGGTCTTGTGTTTGTCCTTACTGAATTGTATCCTATTTCCTTCCAGACCATTTGTTCTATTTGTCAAGGTCACTTTGAGTTCTAATCCTGCCCTCCAGTGAGCTTGTGTCTTAGCTAAGAGTTGTCTGCAAATCTGAAAAGCACATTACTGTTTTTTCATCCACATCACTCATAAAAACATTGAGAATTCCTGACCTAGCACAGACCCCTCTGGAAATCCATTTGATACATTCTCTAATTAGGCAATGATATTTACTCTCCAATACAGTTTCCCAATAAATTATATTATATACTTCAACAGTGGCTTCCTCTGATCCATTTTTGGAGTTACTGCCGGTTTGTATGGAGCCCAGATATGCAAAAGAAAACAAAAAGTATGTAATAATAATGTTTAAATAAAATGATGTCAAATGATGATCATGAATTCTACACTCTCAGTGGGTAGTCAAGCACAATAGTGTCTACTCCACTAATACAAATTAATAAAACACAGTTCAGATACCTTTGTGGTATTTGTTGTCTTCGGTGTCACTTTTATAGCAGTATCCCAAAACTAGGACCACGTTCTTGAGACTCCCTTTTTCAAAGAAATAAAATGACAAATTTTAGTTTTAATGGGAAGTTTTTAATTTAAGGTCAGAAAGAGTAGATGACATCATGGCACTAAGAGGACAGAAAGCAGAGCACAGTCAATCGGACCCTTTATTCAAAATCATTGACCATGACAAACCCAGACATGAAGACAATATAGTTCATGTCTCCATTTAATGTCGGGGTTTATCCGGGTTCCAAGGCTTAAGCACAGGATCAGCCAACCAGCCTGTTGAACAAGCCCAAGAACAAAGCACCCTATTATATAGCACAGGCAGAGGTAGTAGGGTCACAGGAAACAGATGTCACAGCAAAGGGACAGGTGGCAAATGAAGTCCCAGTGCACAGCAGAAAGTACCAGTTATCAGTTCGGTTATGAAAAAGAACCATGAAATGTGACACAAACTGAATAAAAATGTTCTGAACTAATGATGGCACATAGGTGGGAGTTAGCAGGGAAGTGGAAATAGGGGATGAATGCCTACTGAATAATGCCAAAAAGACTGGTTATAATAGATGAGGGATGGTGGGAAGCATACACATCCCTCCATGCTCAGATTTTTCATTACTTTAATTTTTTCTGCAACCAGACCTATCCATACTCCTTACAAAAGTGATTGGAACCTGAGTATAATGTTTCTTATTTAGACTTGGATCCTGTCTTACTATACAGAAGTCTAAATTTGTACTTGCAAAATGAACTACAGATTTACATATAAATTATTCTCTATGGGAAGTCTCATATCTATTAAACATCAATGTGTTAGGTGACAGAATTGGAAAATGGTACTATATTTCATATTCATCTATGAACCACAGATAAAATTACTGTCTCAAAGTCTGGCAATCTTTTTTTCCTGAAATATTTATATCTAATTGACATTATATATTTTAACCTTAAATGAAACTATTTCATACAAAAATATTTCCATTTATCTTCTCTTATTTCACAGAAGCAAGGTGATTCTGTTGAAGAACTGCTCAGCAGTCTCAGTGCTATTTTCACCGATTCTGTGAAAATCCCAGTAGAAACCAAGGCCTTGAATTTAGTAAAAAACACCCAGCCCTTATAAATAATTGCTGTGAAAAGACGATCAGAAGAGAAAAGTACACATCAAACTGCATATATCCATCTTATTTGCTCATCTTGAGATTTGTGCAAACACAGCTAAACTCCTTTTCCTGAATAATAATTTTTCTATACATAAAATTTTTATTAAAAATGTTGAGGTGACTCAGATTCAAAGCTTTTTAAATCACACTGTACTATTCTATACAATATACTTTCCCTATCAATGACAGTGATATGTGAGGCAGAAATTACATTTTCATAGTAACTGTTATTTACAAAATGCTAAAAATAAAATGTCCCTTTATAGTACTAGCATTGTAGCTATCAGGACCAGATGGACTGAAAAATGCTATGCTATACTGGGCACCATAACAGCTGAGGACTGAACAGACTGCACAAACTTGCTGTCTCAGGCAGAGACAAGTCAGATGAAGATGGAGGTTTTTTGACTCATACAACACTGCCAGCACTATGAGCTAACTGCAGTCTACAGATTCTTGTGGTGCCAGAAAGGAAAAAAACAGCTCCAGAATAAGTTCATGATAGTAATGAGAATACATATACAGCCTGCAACTAAGAAATTTGCTAGCAGGATTACAGTGTGCTTCTGAATCCACAGCAACAGCTTCAGTGTCTTTTTTGTTTTTTTACAGCAAACACGCTTTAAATTACACTGACAGGGAAACTCCAGAGTTGTTTTCAAAACTCGGTGTAAACTGATGGGAATCCACATGTTGTGCCACAAAGCACTGTTTGAAATAATGTGCATTTTGAGTGTATTCCCCATTGCAGTACCATGAACTTGAGTCAACATGGGCTTTATTACTTTTGGGAGAGATGCAGGAAAGTGTACAGGTGAAGGAAGGTACAAGAGCCAAGGAGTACCCCATACTCAACTGCACTCCTCTGGCTGTTTGTTTGTGGTTACCACTGAAACCCCACAGCTCCTGTCTGCCTACAGCAGCTCAAAACACCTGTCCCTGACAGGAACAGCACATCTGTACAAGTTCACACCCTGAGTTCAGGTGTGTAGACTTTCCCAGCTTTACTGTGATCTGCCTGCGACACAAATCTAAAAGAACCATCCCTGAATAAGGATAGGAGAAGAAAACAAGGCAATAAGCAATTAAGGAAAAATTATTCAAATCTAACATGGTCCACAGAGAGAGAAGCCAGAAGTGTAACAATTAGGATGGAGAAAGAACACAGGCTACCCGTGTAAGAGAAGACTATGGGACAGAAGATGGTGTGTGCTGAAACACGGCACAGGGATGCAGTGAAGTTGGGGATCTGTCCATGTGCTGATCAGTGACAAGCCAGGGAAGAGCTGTTGCTTTATGTGGGCACAGGTGTTCAGCCTGCTGGTATTCAGCTAACACCCGAGTGTCTGACCC